TAAGAATTTATTAAATATTTTAAAATATTCATTAAATATTTATTTGCTATATATTAAATAATTTAATAATTTTTATAATATAAATAAATAATAAAATTTAAAATATAAATTTATATAAAATAATATTAATTATAATAATTTAACACTATAATGAAATTCCGTTCTTTATGCTCTTGGTTCCTCATCGTATTCAGCAAGTAAATAATCGAACGACACGCTCTAAACATTTGCACGTAAAATCCTTTTATGTTCATGGAAATTCCTTTTTGGTAAACTATGTTCATGGAAATTACACTACCCCTAAAGTGGCACAAGCCGGCCGACGACCATCGAACGATATTTGTCTGTGTCTCCTTATTATAAATACTTTAGTAGTCCTCCAAGATCCCCACACCAGCCAAACCGTAGTAGTCATTGGTAGCTTTCCATCCCTTATCTCACGCTTGCAGATGGCCAAAAATGGAGATCAAGACAGCCAACGGGAACATTGTAAGTGTCTATTTTTCAGTTGTAATAATATTTTTTCCCAAAAAAAAAAAAATTTGTTGAAGATTATAGTGCATGGTTCTTGCATTTGGAAATTATGAATATTTAGCTTCACTTTGAGAAAAAGAACAAAAATCAAGATTTTTAGATTTTTTTAATCTGTTGAGTTGCAACCAGTTACAGTATTGAGGACTTAACTAGATTTTTGTTTACATTTATCTCATATATCATTTAATCCTTCCATTTTTCATCACTAAATACGGTTCAAATTTCACTAATTTTCTTTGGGAGTCCAGTAAATAGCGAGCAAAATTCCCTAGAAATTCAAAATGCAGACGAGCAACAATTAGATCAGCCTGGAGATGCAGATGGATTTCTCCAGAGTTCGGTAAATCGCGGTGGAATACCGCAGTTGACCCCGCTAAATTTAGGTCAACGGGGTGCGAGTAATTCCATGGATCAAGGCCGTGAGCAGCCGCAGGCGCTGATGCGGCAACAGCCGGACACAAGCAGAGGAAAAAAAAGGAAGCAACA